CGATGAGCACCTTCTTGCTCAGGTCTCCATTGGCTACCGCTGTGATGATCGTGCCAATCTCGCGCAGCACTTTTTGGTAGGTGGCATTGATCTGCGCATTCTTCTCAATCTCCCCCTTCAGCTGCTCTATAGATAAAGAGTTGCCCAGTGTGTCTATTGCAGCCTTGGTCGCAATCTGCTGGGTCGTCAATTGCGATTTGATGCCGTCGATGAAGTCCTTTTGGCTCTTGATCTCCTGCCCTTGCTGGTCGATATGCTCTCGCAGCCATGCAAATTGCTCTCCGGTAAGTTGCCACGTCCGTTGATCTCCGTCGCTCTTACCAAGCAGGCTGTTGACCCACGAAGCCGAACGTTCTCTTGACGCTGTTGTTGCAGTCTTGGGCGAAGCTGGAGTCTCTGCAAATGCTGAAGCCAAAGGCTCATCGAGTGTAATAGGTAACGATGCGGAGCCAGACGCAGCTTTCGCTTCCAGAAAATTAATCCGCGATGACAGCGCGGTCAACTCGCGCTCCAACGTCCTCTTCTCCACTGAATTCTCGCCAGGCAGTGATATCTTGGGGCTCTTGACGCCATTGGCGATCGCGTGCGCCGGAAAAGAATGCTCGTTTGCTGGCGTACGGGACTTGGCAAGGTTGGAGAGCAGACTGGCAACTGCCGCGAATGTTTCCTCATTACGCATATCGAAGTGCGACAGGCTCAATTTCGGCCCTGTTAAATGCTCAGGAGGGCATGCCAGGTTGGCGGTCTTCCCAGAACGAATGTGTGAGGTAGGTGCGGAAGGATGGTGTAGAACAGGGATGTTATTGCTGTGGTATGTATGGTGGTTGCGAGCTCTGGCGCTCCTGTCTTGCGCCGTTTAGGTCATTAATGTCCGGTACAGGAATGGAGCCAGTGTATTCGGAGGCTCACAGGCTTAGGACACCGCTCCCTTAGACTGACCGAATGCTGCCTCGCCAGATTTCGAAGGCGAAGAGCAGCCCCCACTGCTAAGCAGATTGGCGCCGATAGAGACTAGAAGCAGTATTGCGCGTATCGGGCTGCAAAGTTAGTGGAGACAATGCGCTATTGCGCCATTGCCGCCTTAGATCCTCGGAGATGGCGGGAACGGCGAGTGGGCCGCTTGACATGCACGTGATAATGTCGGCTTTTACTCCACAGTCACGCGACACGTAAGTATGATCTCGAAAATCGTAGCGCGACGTTGTTGCGATGGACACACCTTTCCATGTTCAGGCCGTCGTCACAGCAGGCAAACATCCTCACCATTCTGCCTTCGGAGCTTCTCGTCCGCATCTTCTCCTACCTCTCCACCCCACCGTCGAGCGATATCGCCGCCTACCGCCTCGTGAACCGCGCATTCGAAGAGCAAAGCTCGCCTTTTCCTCCTCCCGTGTGTTGTGTTTGCGTGGCGTCTGGACGTGATCACGAAGTTGCGCCAGGTGCTGCAGCACCCTTACTTTCGCCAATATGTCGAAGAATTGGTCTACGACGGTAGCAGCTACCACGAGACGACCGCAACGGACTGGGATCAGTATGTGGAAGACTGCGAGCACGCGCCTCGAGATCTGAAGGATCCAGCGTGGGTCGAGCGACAGCGCCGTGATCATATGGCTTGGAATGCTCGAATTCGTTTCGCACGCCCAAATGCACGATCCTTGTCCCTAGCGACGGTAGTATGAACGCTTTCCCAATGAGGCTCGTGTAGTCCGAGATATCATGCCTGTCCTTGTGCCATCTCCGGAGCTCCTCCATATTGACTGCGTCGCCTCACTGGAACACATGCGAGGCGTTGAATGCCAAATGGACTCAATGCAACACCCTATGCGGCGCGCGACCGAAGCCGGACTTTGTTGCAGGAGCGGCAGGCTCTGCCTTCACCAATAAAGAGAAGGAGAAACTCCAATAAAGCTACACAAGCGCGAGTCCGAACTTGTTCCCCGAGAACATATACTATCCGTTCTTAATCTGCGAAGTCAAAGGCAGTGACAAACCTGTGGACGCTGCAGAACGGCAGGCTATGGACGGTGCTAGTATTGCTGTGCGTGCTCAGATCTAGCTGTACAGGAACTTTTCTGCTGTAGAAGAACTGGATGGCAAAGTCCTGGTCTTCTCCATTGCACACGACGCTTCCATGATCAAAATCTTTGGTCACTTCGCGAAAATTGAAGGTGACAAGCTCACTTTCTTTCGACATCAGTTGTATCTTAGTGATATCGCCACCGACCTGCGATCAGAGGCATCATCCCGCGCATACAATATTACACGTGCCATCTACGATGTCTTCTTTCCTCAACACCTGGCTCGGATTAGAAGCGCTTTGTCGAAGCTCAGGGGCTCCACGATGGCGTCCTTCACATCTCAACAGGATCTGGTTGATGGCTCTTAAGAATCCACTGTCAGCAAATCATCGCAGGAAGATGCAAGGTTTAAGAAGCCCTCGCTTTCATCCACCGCGATGCTGCAGCAAGAGCATGAAAGGCTTCGTGATCAACTCTTGAAGATGGTGCGTATCCAGCAAATCGAAGCTATATCTCAGCGACAAGAGCAAGACAAGCAACGAGTGGTGAGGGAGCGACAGCTAGCTCAGCAAAAGGAGTAGACGGAGCGACAGCTAGCGCAGCAGAAGGAGCAGATGGCACAGCAATTGGCTCACCAACGCGAGCTGATTGCTCTACTGAAAGAGTCTAAGACCAAATGACTAGATATCTTTGTTTCAAGTGCTGAGCTGCCATAAATGTTGAAGCTATGGGTCGGACCATCGCCTAGCGCATCTTGCCTCGCCCCGCGTACGGAAGCGAATTACTGTCCGTAATACAAGGCCAAACGGAAGCAATATTCCGAGAGCCCAAACTATCGGTGTCTTTCGAAGAAAGATCCCAAATGTGCTAGCAACAAGGCAGCCCCATCTCCTGTCATGGAGTCAAAGCCAAGATAGATGAACGTGTTCCTAACACCAATCCTGCTGAGACGACTGGATGACTCGCTGCCCGTGAAGCCACGATAAGTGAGTTTGAGATCCAGGCAAGACAACATGCGGAGAGTGTTCAGGCACTGTTGCTGGGGATGTGGAATTCTGAGGAAGAGACTGTGATTGAAGGAGCGAGAACAGACAGGGCCACAGTATGATGTCGGAGATATGGCTCCCGACTTTGGCTTAACAGCGTAAGCTCAAGGTCAATTACGTTTCAATTCCCGTCTGAATACGCGAGCATTGGCCATCCGAAGCTCTCGAGAGGACATTTAACGGCGGAAGACACTTGGGTACCGACTGTGGAAAATGCAGGTAGACAGTGATCGTTCATTAGGTATCTGGCGATGAACGCCCACGTACAAAGCCATGTCCAGGATAGCATGTCTGACAACATCCGAAAAAGCAGCCAATTGAGCTATAGTCGCACTGGACAATACAAAATCCGAAACCTGCCCACCCATATGTACGTTCTGTCATGCCGCCCGTACACATACTCCTACCATCATCGCCTTGTCCACATAAATTTCCCGTAAAATTCGTCCGGCATGTGCTGTCAGTGCCGTCGATATGTCATGTACGATGCGCAACTCCAAAAGACCTCCAATGCAGCTCCTCCAATATTTCGCTGTCCACTTTGCATGTAGGTGATATAGATGCCACTCGGCGGAGAAAGGCGACCGTCCGCTCAAGCAGGGTCTTGAAATGATCCGGAGGTACCATCGGATTTAAATTCTTGCTGTAATATGCTGCTGAGAGAACAAGCATGTTCCCAAATTGTCTATTGAGGTTAGCAAGCTTCTCATGAAACAGCAAAGCACGAACACTTACGCGTGAGCTGTGCCGTGGATATTAGTTACGATGAGGTCGTGCTCAGGGACACCATCGAAGGCGATAGTACTCTGAATAGCAGCCTCGATGCAGCGTCTACAGGCTCTCAAGATTCCAGGTTCTGACATGCCTTGAATTGCTTCGAAGATGTGGATGTCGGCCTCATGGCGCGGTTCGCCGATTACATCGCGTGCTGCTTCCCTCACAGTTCTACCGTCTTTGATGGCTGGCATGATGTGCAGGGCATAATCGAGAAACGGTCGGTTGACCAAGTAGCGTGCGCCTGTTCAGCATGTGTGTCAGCGACACGATGTAAAGAATGGAGCACATAAATGCACGACAGGCTCAAGCGTGAATGATGTTGGACTCGAGTAGTCAGAAGTGAGGAGTAAGAGCAAAGGATATGACGCATGAAGGTGTGACATACCCTGTACATCACATTAGCAGACTCGCAAGCTTCTGAAGAGGAGCAGCACTCACATAGTACTTTGCACGGAGCCTGGCGGCGAGTAAACTTTCCGCCGGCTTCTCCTTATCGTCCCACTTATAGCCACCCGGTAACGAGCCTCGCCAGGAATGTAGCAATAGCTCGTAGCCACCCAGTGTTTCGCGCACTTGCTCCAGCGGTTGACTGAGGCAATCAGATCCGTACATCTCTCGGTGTATCTGATTCAGCTTCCGACGAAGAAAAAGCTGTGCGGTATAATATATCAGAATATTATCATACTCGTCCTGGTTCTCGTGACGTGGAAATTGTTCATGGACACCATCTCCGTCTTCTTGGCTGTTATGTGGCATCAATAGTGAGTTCTCGATGCTCTGAATGCCACTAGATGGTAGTCGAATGTCGGCAAGGATGTCGCTTTCTAATTGTAAGCATGACCAGGATACAAGAACAACCAAATTAGCATTCTTGCTGGTGATGCGCGCCTGGCCTCTGGCGAGCTTCTTACGGATGTCACCATGCGCTGTCCAGTAATCCGTATAGAGCTGGTAGCGTTCGAGCAGTGTCATGGCCACACGGCTGGCTCTCGTGATCCAGCTCATGCTTTCGACCACCCGGGCCAGCTGGCCCTTGTACAAACCAGCAAGCAAGAACATCTGTGCATGTATGAGGTCATTGCCGTCACCTTGCTCGCCTAAGATCACCGCTGCCTTGGCGTAGTACGCTAAACCAGGCAGGCGATGGACGTTGGCTGAAGCGACAGACATCGTGCTAGTGACAGACGGATGACGTATCGGAAGCTCCGTCAATGGCGTGCTGAGATGGCCTTGTAACCCCTGTTTCACAGAAGAGAAGCTTATAGTAGGCGATATCTGCTCTGTCATCACGGAAGCGGTGGAGTGCTTTCGCGTCGGAGCGGTGCTGCTGAAATTCATGCCGTTGTCCATAGCTGTGTCATGCCAGACTCCTGATATGGCATGTTTATGCAAACACGCCTTTCCAAGAGCCAATACAAGATATACGACAGCGTGCTGCGCCTGTCTCCCCTTCGCCTTATTCCTAAAGCTTGCGTGCGGCGGCGTTGGCATGCGGGATTCGGCCGGCCGGTCGTTCCGTTTCCGCTTGAGAGGATTTGTTGAATCGTGGCTTGCTTGCATTTCCGGGGAGGCAGCGCCAGCATCTTGTGTACTCGTACCATGCACCCCGACGAAACATTCGACCATGCGGCGAAGCTTGCGTACGTCGATGAATGGGTGCATGATATGTATGTGCTTGACATAGCTCTCGTATAACATGTTGATGGTCTCCACGTCAAGCTGGAGTGAGTCGTCAGGTCTCAAATCGCCCCATACCGGAGACAGCACCGTTTGAGGCTCGCTATAAGTTACAGGTGATTCACACACGTCGGCATCGCTCGTTGGCGTGCGTGATCGACTACTCGATCGTGTAGCATAGTCGTCCACCCCCCCCGGGGTATACAGTGACAGCATACTACGGTCCTCAAGATCTCGGACGTAATTGTCAGAGTAATTGACACCCGCCGCTTGCAGAATTGGTCGTATGCTGGGCCAATACCGTATGAGCTTGTGGGGTGCTGTCCGGTGGTCATCAAGCTCCGATCGTAGCCTCACGGCATCGTGGTCCTCTACTAGGGCTTCTGATTCGAGTTTGGCGCTGAACCTTTTACTGAGCTCTTCCATGTGCTGCAGGCGCGCTTCAACATTGCCCATTTGCGTGGCCATACATTGCAAGCCTGAGGCATGTGCTTGCATGTACTGCATAATCTTGTCCATGTTCTTGTCGGCCCTGACGTTTTTCAGCATATGCTCATATGCTTTCATACGAAAGCTCGACACCTACCGCGATGGGGTGCTCGGATGGTAAGTGCATCGCAGAGCACTTTCCTGGCAAGGTGTGCATGGGTTGCCTCTGCATCAGTGTTAGTTGTGGTGAGGGACTCATCGATGAGGATCGACTTGCTCGTCACATTTATGCTTCCGAAGCCGACATTGAGTACAGGCCTGATAACGATGAGCGACCTTTCCCAGCAGTCATCTAAGGAAGTCACCGACCTGGTTTGCTCGCATTGTACGTTTTCGTGGCTGTGATCTTGGGTTGACAGGTATCGGTACCGGTCCCATCGGCTGCTGTCCATGAAGCATGTGTTGTGGTGGCGGAGGGATGAAGGGCGTATGGGCGGCAAGAGTATTTTCCGCTGACATTGGGTGTGGTGGGGTGTGCACTGAGTCCAGAGAATATGATCTGCTCATGGCTGCATTCGAGAAGCGGTCGGGACGTTCCATGTGATCATGATAATCTGGATCACTATTACCCGAACCAAAGGATTGATGGAATGACTGAGCCTGTGTAATCATGACTTGTTTATTGCTAGCGAATGGAGTGGTGATGTTTAGTCGGGCACCAGACGACCGACTTGCCGGGTCAGATGTAGTAATCAAAGTCTGAGCACTGTCAGAGTCTAGAGATGACGGCGCAGGTAGTGCTATCCAGTCTGCTGGACATTCTATACGCCTCGCATAACCGAACCTCGTCCGTGAATTCCCCACAAACTGTGGACCAGTCAGTAGGCGTATCTCACCGCCGCTGCATAGACTCAAGCTGATATACCCAGTAGCATTTCAAGTGTCTCACAGGATGAGGTCACTATCCTGGAGCTACAAATGCATACGGGACGGGGCAAGAGTCTCCTGAGAGACGGACTGCTGCAGGGCATGCAGTAGTACAGTCAATACGGAGACAATGCCATAGCCTCGCTCATGTGTCTGCCAAGAAGTATTGGCCATATCTTAATTTGACTTCCGTGAGACGCCGTCTTTGGGGCAAAGTGAAGCGAAGGATAGGAAGGTGCATGAATGACAGAGCCAGAGGCATGGGTTCATGGCCTACCTAGGATCATACACCCGATCATGAACGGCGAAAGCTGCCTTCTAGCTGCATAATCTTCGAGCCTCGTGCGGATCGGGGCAGAGGGTGAGCGCCACTGCATTTTGGACGTCTTGCATATGCCTCCACGATCAGATGTGTAATTTTCGTCGTTCACAATTGCGGTCTGGACTGCTTCTTTGGAATTAAAGTAACAGAATTAGAGAGACGCAGCATACCTCGCAGAGTTTTGTGGCAATTTTTATGGCAGTTCACTGTTACAGTTTGTGAATTTAACTTGCCATATCCTGGAAAGTAGAGCGCGGGTGTGGAAGCACTTGGCAAACTCTACGCATCGCCAGATTACCTCGACCGATCGTCTCCGGTCGATAACACAGACTTGAGCATAACGATCGGCATGCGCATGACGCGTGGCTCGGGCCTCACGTAGAGTCCAATGGAACTGCACCGGCGCAGGTCATCATGCTGCATGGCTCGCCCCAGAATTGTGGATCTACCACCAACATGGTTCGGCAACTGATTAGATATTTATGCACATCGATTCAATTATGTTCATATGTCCTCCAGGTCCTTCCGCCGCAATGTGACCTGACCACGAGATCTTTAGTGGGTCATAAGGCCAAGCATTTCAGTTGCTATCTAAGGTCAAGATCGGGATCGGCGTCGCGACTACTGTACATGGCCCGATAAAGTCTCTGCATGTACCTTGCGACAGCGGCAGCTAGCGGGGACTCCGCGCCACGGTAGTGCCAGCATCCGGTATAAACACGTAGACTCCGGTTCTCCATGACCTTGGTTCTAACTTGCCTATAGCGCTCCATTCCTACCCCGAATAAGAAATATCCGGCATGAAGAGGGCGAATGTATAGAGGCAAAGGAGTCCTTGCAGACTCCAACTTTTACTTCTTACACACTCTTCGCGCATCTCTGTTCAATTGGCACCAGTATTGATTAACCGGAATGACGGTCCGACCAATGAAAGCCAGAAGCATCATCGGATCAATTAACGGCCCGGCTCATGGGAAGCGGGCTAGTAATTTTGCGTTAGTAGCGTGCGCTAGTCTAATGCCGCAATTTCTCAGGAGCTTATACCTCTTGCTTGCATTTCATGGACTGCAAGGGCAGCCAAAGCATTCAAGGTGGTATTCTGGTGTTGACAAATTCCCACTGTTCGTGACTGTTTGAAGTGCTGAAAGCAGAGATGATCGTCTTCCTGAAGCTGAGCAGGGTCGATGTCGCAATGCGCAAACTCATATTGACCAGCAAGCGCAGGAGATCAAGAGCCAAAAGGCTTTCATCGACGGCATCAAGTCGCAACTGACGACCCAGCAGAGTGCGACCAAGGCGGCATTGGACACACTGGGCAATTCCTCATCTATAGAGCAGCTGAAGCGGGAGATTGAGAAGAATGCGCAGATCAATGCCACCTACCAAGAAGTGCTGCGCGAGATTGGCACGATCATCACAGCGGTAGCCAATGGAGACCTGAGCAAGAAGGTGCTCATCC